CCATGCTTGGGGCTCCTAGCAAATCCAACCTCCTGTGAGTAGCTCCACCCTGCCGAGGTCTGGGCAGAATCCAGGCAAGACTGAGTTGTGTGACTCAGGGGTGGGAGCCATGACCTCCCACCCCCGAAGCCTGAGGGATACCTCTCCCTCATGGGAGACCCACTAGCCCCATCCTCCTGACTCCTTATGTCCCCATCCTGCTGAGATTGAACTCCTGACAGAATCTGGGAAACACTGAGATGCATGGCTCTAGGACAAGAGCCAGCTTTCCCTCTCATGCCAGTCTGGTGCAGAGTCCTCCCTTCACATGGCCAAATCTTGGTCTCTTTGGACCTGTTTATAAACTGCTGGCCTGCTACAAAGGTGTGTGAGCACCCAGCAGGTGGCAGCTAGGCTTGGTCTACCCTGGGGCATTTGCTGAGTGGCCTCAGACCCAAGTTCAAACCTGTATCAATCTGCTGAGCAGCACTCACTGAGAATGTATCTCATGGAACTTGAGTACCACCAGAGATTTTGTGACTGAGCCTAACTGGCAGCTGGCAGGCGGAGGCAGGTGGAGGCAGATCTTGGGGAGCCTTAGGCCCTTTGCCACTGGGTTCGGTGCTGGTGGGAAGCAACTTGATGTGCGGCTTGGTCCAGTCCTTCCCATGCACACCAAGGCCCAGCAGAGGCAGCCACTAACTGTGGGTCACTTTGTGTCTCCAAACAGGTAGCCCAGGGCTGGTCACAGGCAGTGTCTGACACTGACCTGCACTAGAGTCCCTCCAAAAAGACCCTAGAACAGACACATCCAGTGGCCAGCTTCAGACAGCATCAGAGCAGGATCCAACTAGCTTCAAAAGTGGTACCAGACCCAGCTGAGGTGTAATCTGCCTCCTGTGGTCAGCATCTGCACAGCAGCTTGTACCCTGCGGTCAGGGTCAATCCTCACAGGCACCCAGCCTGAGGGATGGCCTCATGTATGAATGGGGCAATGACAATCAAGATTCATTTACAACAGGAGGGGCCACATAAGCCAACAAGGGACATTCCTGGAGCATCCAACCCAGCTGATCAAGGAGACTGTGCCACTGGCTCCCCCAGGACACCTACCACATAAGGCCACGATACAAAGGCTAAGAAATATAGCAATCTATTTAATACATAGAAATGAACATAATGAGGTAGCCAAACTGGGGAGACAAATAAACAAATTCAAATAAAAGAACAGGAAATCTCCAGAAAAAGAGCTAAATGAAGTGGAAGAAAGCAATTACCAGAAATAGAGTTCAAAAAAGTGGTTATAAGGACACTCAAGGAACCTAGTGAGAAATCCAATGGCATGAAAAATGACACAGAAAGCATAAAAAAAATATAAAAAAATAAAGAATACAATATATGAAATAAAGCATAAAAATGAACAAATGGGACTATATCAAACTAAAATATTTTGCACAGCAAAGGAAACCATCCACAAAATGAAAACACAATCCTCTAATTGAGAGGACATTCAACAGTGATACATGCAATAAGGTGTTATATGCAAAATTTATAAAGAACTTATATAATTCAATTAAAAAAAAACCACACCCCACAAACAAACAATCTAATTAAGAAATGGACAAAAGACCTAAATACACACTTCTCCAAAGAACATATAAAGATGCCCAAATAGACAGAGGGAAAAATGTTCAACATCACTAATCATCAGAGAAATTAAAATTAAAACCACAATGAGATATCACCTCACACCTGTCAGAATGGCTTTCAATAAATCAACAAACAACAAGTGTTGGTGAGGATATGGAGAAAAGGGAGCCCTTGTACAATGTTGGTGGGAATGCAGACTGCTGCAGCCGCTGTGGAAAGCAGTATGGAGTTACCGCAAAAAATTAAAAATGGAGCTACTCAGCGATTCCACTTCTGGAAATATATCTGAAGAAAACTGAAACAATAATTCAAAAGCGTATACGCACACTACTATGTTCATTGCAGTGTTCTTTACAATAGCCAAGATTTGGAAACAGCCTAAGTACCAATCAATAAATGAATGGATTAAAAAAACAAAACAAAATTGTAGTACATTTACACAATGGAAAAACTACTCAACCTTAAAAAAAAAAAAAAAAAAAAAAAGACATCTTGTCTGGCCTGTGTGGCTCAGTGATTGAGAGATGATCCATGAAATAAGAGGTCACCAATTCGATTCCAGGTTAGGGCACATGCCAGGGTTGTGGGCTCAATCCCCAGTCGGGGCATGCAGGAAGCAGCCAATTGAAGATTCTCTCTCATTGGTGTTTCTATGTCTCTATCCCTCTTCCTTCCTCTCCCTAAAATCAATAAAAACATTTTTTAAAAGAAATCTTATTTGTTGTGTCAATATTTATAGACATGGAGAAAGAAACTAGCCAGAGGAAGACAAGTACCACAGGATTTCACTCATATGTGGATTCTAATGAACAAAATAAACTAACATACAAAATAGAAAGAGATTGACAGAGAACAGATTGACAGCTGTCAGAAGGGAAGGGTTTGGGGGTTAGGGTGAAAAATGTAAAATGTTAAGCAAAAGAGAACCAAAAAAACCACAAAACCCTCAAAGACACAGACAGAATGATTATCAGAGGGAAAAGGGGGTAGAGAGATATAGAAGAATGTAAAGAGCGGATAAATGGTAATTTGGAGTGGTAAACACATAATACAATATACAGAATTGTATAGAATTATACATGTAAAACCTACATAATTTTATTAACCAATGTCACTCCAATAAATTCAATTAAAAAAGAAAGAAACTTCAGAATGGAGGTGTGATATTAGGCAAGTGGTAGACAAGGCAGGTCTCTGGGTAACTAAATTTAGAAGGGAGAAATGGAGGACAGACTATAGAATGTAAACAAGGGTTATCTAGATGACAAGGTTATGCCATTTTTTTTTTCCTTTTTACTCATCTGCATTTATAAACCATATTTAATAAGTCTTAATTTTCTAGGCCACATATCATATAAATAAAGGGTGTCCCAAAAATGTATACCTACACTTTGAATAATTATAAAGGCCGTGTTTATTAATATACATTTCATTTTCAAAATTGAACTATCAGCTGTTAACGTGTGTATACATTTCTTGGAGCACCCTGTATAATAAAAAAAACTATTTAATTTATATTATACATAATATAATAATATGAATATATAAATAAAGGTATGCATATAGATGAATGTGTGTGCATGCATTCTTTCAGAGAAGCAAGGTTTCCTTTGTGCTTTAAATATGTACCTCTTGTAAAGACGCCATAGCATAAAGTTAAGTAAGTATAGCTCCCGGCTTTGATAATGTTGCTACATGTACTAGTATTGCTGTCCCTAGAACTAGGAGGGATTTCCAAAGCAAAGATTGCAATAATGCAGTCCTTAATCATAAGGAAGAGAAAGGATTTTTAAAAATATTTTATTGATTTCTTACAGAGAGGAAGGGAGAGAAATAGAGAGCTAGAAAGGTCGATGAGAGAGAAACATCAGCTGCCCCTTGCACACTCCTACTGGGGATGTGCCCGCAACTAATGTACATGCCCTTGACTGGAGGAATCGAACCTGGGACCTTTCAGTCCGCAGACTGACGCTCTACCCCTGAGCCAAACCGGCTTCAGGCGGATGTGGGTTTTTGTTTTTTTAAAACTTATTACTTGATTTTAAAGAGAGAGAAAAAGACTGTTCCACTTATTCATGCATTCCTTAGTTGATTATTCTTATATGCCTTTTCAGGGAATCAACACACACACCCTACACATATCAGAATAATGCTCCTGAACTACCCGCCAGGGCAAGAAGGATGTGATTTGAGATTGTATGAATGGTTTCTCAATTTTGATTCTTAAATTTTCTCCAAGGAAGTTTCTAAAGGCCCCAAATATTGCACCTTATTTCTGAAGGGACCAGGGAGAATTAATTTTTCCAATCAGGGAGAATTTTCTTCCCAATCATAACCATGGTCCAGACATTATTATGTTTGATTTTCTTTCAACTTCTGTTGTTGTTTTTTAATGGGTGCAATCAACAAACTCCCTGGGCTTTGGAATGAAATGAAATCCCGGCCTTGTCACCTGTGTGAGCTGGGTTGAAAAACTTTCCAAACTCCATTTTGCATCTGTAAAATGGACAGGAGGCCATCCTCCTGGCTACACAGCTGCTGAGAGAACTGATTAAGATCATGTTTATTAACACGCCTAACAGTGCTGGAACTTGGGTGGGGCCGAATAAAATAAGAATCCATTGGCTTTCAGAGGCCACGATTCTTCTGTGTGCCACCTTGGGGCTGGCATTTCTGAGAAAAGGACTCCAAAAGGAGGCGGCTTCTTAGGCCGAGTGCAGGCGCCAGGGCGGGAGCTGCGGGAGCAGGCACCGCTGCGCCGGGGCCCACACTCCCTCCCGCCCCGGTTCAAACTCGCGTGGGAGTGAGTGCCGCCGAGAAAGTTTCCAAGGAGAAAATGAAAAGCAGGAAGGGGGAAAAAAACAAACACAAAACCCAGCGACAGTGACTTGCCGTCTTCAGGAGAGGCATTTCCGGAAGCAAACAAAAACAGTTTCTTTTTCTGCGCCGGTGACAGGAGAGCAAACAAGACGCGGGCAGCGCCAAGTTCACGGTGGAGAACAGGAGCCGGGCGGCCGAAAGCCTCCGGCGCCGCCGCCGCCCGGGCTCAGTCCCTAACTTTGCGGGAAACGGCGATGCCAGGTCCAGCCCCGCATCCCGCCACGGCCGGGCGCGCACCCCACGGCCCGGAGCGGACCTGCGGCGGGATCTGCAAGGACCTGTTCGGAAGACACCCCCCGCCCCCCGTCTGTCCCGCCCAGCTGTCCCTCCAGCGACCCCAGACCTCCCAGGTCCCGGAGGCTCCCCGATCATCCGATGCCAAAGTCCTAGCCCCGGGGACGCTGTGGATCGCCGTCCCGGGGCGCGCGCGGCCCGCCGTCACCCCGGGCGCTGCATACCGCGCCCGCCCCGCCCCGGCGGAGAGGACTCACCAGGAGCAGGAGGACCCCGATCCGGGGCATCGCTGGGGAGCGATCCGGCGAAGTTTAAGAGCTTCTCGAGCCCCGGCAGCGCGGCTCAGCTCCAGGAGAGATGACAGCCCCGCCCGGCCTCTCCCGGGGCCTCTCCCGGGACTCGCAGCTCCCGGCTTCTCTCTCCAGAGTGTCTCGGAGCACCTGTGCGCGCTGCTCCCCGAAGCGACCAAAGGAAATGCACCTCCTCCCTCCCGGGCCAGGGGGTGGAGAGGGGAGGGGAGGAAGCCCTGCGGGGGAACTCCTGGCTGGGGAGAGCGCCCTGCCCAGGAGGGGGTGCGGGGGGAGGAGGAAGGCCGAGCGGGGCGTGGAGCAAGAGCGAGGTTTATTGCACAAACGGGCATTCCCCACTAGAACACCAGGCTCTCCATCAGCTGTGCGGCGTGTGTGCCAAGGGCAGAGGACTCCTTAGCTTTTATTTTTCAAGCAGAGAACAATGCTTGCTTACTACTCCTGACAAACCCCCCAGCTCAGGCTGTATTTAAGGTTCACAATAACTTCCCCTCTGCTCCTTTATTACTCATTTCCTGGTCGATTTTCTTAAAAAAAAAAAAAAAGGAGGGGGGTGAGGGGTGATTCTTTGGTGCTCTGGTTAACACCTCTCAAAGTTATTTTGAAAAAAGTAGATCTGTCTGTTTGAGTAGTTTGCACGAATTTTACAGGAGGGTAAATTGGTATGCTGACTTGTGATTTGTGTGTGTGTGTGTGTGTTCATTTTGATTGATTTCAGAGAAAAAGGGTGAGAGAGAGAGATAGAAACATCAATGATGAGAGAGAAAATCATTGATCAGCTGCCTCCTGCACGCCCCCTACTGGGGATGGAGCCCACAACCCAGGCATGTGCCCTTGACTGAAATGGAACCCAGGACCATTCAGTCTGCAGGCCACAATCTATCCACTGAGCCACACCAGCCAGGACATGACTTGTGTTCTGAGCTGCACTTATGACCAGTCTTGTAGGTGTTGGTGGGCTCGTCTCTACCTGGCCTTCCGGAGAGGCTGGTGATTGCTGCAGGGAGAGCCTGGACGTGCCAGTCCTGCTCCTACAGTTCCCAGCACAGAATACCGTACACACCAAAGGAAGGGAAGGGGGCTAGGGCTGGTGGTGTGTTATTGCTGCAACCTTCCTGGAAATCCAAAGCTTTTTATAAAATAAGAAGTTCATTGAAATGAAAAAAATGTATAAGAAGGAAGGAAGGGAAGAGAGAAAAGAGAGAAGACAATTGACAAAATCAACATCTCTTTAGACTGAATTATGAACTAGCAACTTTCAAAAGTGGTTCTTTCGTACTTAATATCTATCATTTTAGCCCAGTGAGGTGAGTAAACTTACTGTACAAATAAAGAATTGTAGCCAAAAGAGTTGAAGCAACATTGGCAACATTGCAGAGTTGATAAACAGTAGAGCTGGGAATTAAACTTGGATATTCTTGCTCCTGAGGCCCTCCCCTTTCTAACCACCCCCTCTTCCAGCCCTAATTCCCCCAAGTTCAAACAGTGCTTTGTGGGGGGAAATGTTTCATGATGAAATGATTTTAGAAAATTTAGGGTTAACTTAATCCAAAAATTCTCAGAGCTCTTAAAATGCTAATATGCATCGGGAATATCTAAGAGGGGGCTTTGATATGAATTCCCCCTACCCCCACAAACTTCCTTGCCTTCTTTCTGGAGTCCTTTGAAGAGGACCTATTGAATGATCACTTCATGGAGGCTGGTGTTCTGGGGGAAAAAGTTTGGACATCATTAAAGGCCATTTTTATTTATTTATTTATTTATTTATTTATTTATTTATTTATTATTATTATTTTTTTTAATTTCAAAGAGGAAGGGAGAGGGAGAGGGGGAGAAATACCAATGTATGCACCGAAGATCAAACTCACAACTTTGGTATGTGCCCTGGCTGAGAATAAAACCCACCACTTTTTTTTTTTTTTTTTGTGTGTGTGTGTGTGTGTGTGTGCAGGATGACATTCCAACCAACAGAGCCACCTAGCCAGGGCAAAGGTAATTTTTAGTTTAATAATACATTCCTAAGACCTCCAATCTTTGAAGAGCCAAAACAAACAAACAAACAAACAAACAAAACCAACAATTTTTAAATCCAGATGTGCGAGATATTTTGGACCCAACCATCCTGATTGTACTCAAAACATGCCACATAAGCTAAAGCCCACTTCTATTATAAAGATATGCTGGCTATTGAACATGTCATTCTGAATAGCACTTAAACACATATCTAAATATGTAAAAAGCTAAGGGGAGAAAACCTTCACTATCTTTTCACCACTGAGTTTATTCCTTCTCTCCATGAACCTAATGTTCAAAAAATGTTTGTCAACCAAATTGCCACCCACAGCAGTAAGTTGACTGTTAATTCCCAACTGTGATGAGTATCTATGACTGTTTTTTCTACATCTTCTCCCCTTCTTCCTGGTAACAGCACTGCCAAGTTGTCTTTGGGAAAATTGGCCCTCTTCTCTCTTTTTAACTCTTTGTAGTAGTTAGTTTCAGAAAAACAGGGCCTTAGAATAGATAGAGCTAGAGAAGTATCTATTATGCTTAGATAGACAGATGTATTTTCAAAAACTGGCTTATGTGAGTGTGTAACCTGGCAAGACCCAAACTGGAAGGCAGGCTAGCCGGCTGGAGACCCAGGAAAGAGTTTGCAGCTCAAGTTGACTTGAGCCCAAAGTCAGTATGCTGGCTGAATTCCCTCTCTCTCTCAGGGGAGCTCTTATTTAATTATTAATCCCATCCAAAAAGAAAATAAAACATCCAAAACATCCAAAGTAAAACCAAGTATTTGGGTCCTGTGGCCTAGTCAGATCAACTATCACAGGAGCATTGACACCAATCCCAGGGCTTTTGTGTGTATGTAAGGAGGAGGAGGAGGAGGAGGAGGAGGAGGAGGAGGAGGAGGAGGAGGAGGAGGAGGAGGGGGAAAGAAAACTCTATTTGGTTAAGGCAACTAGCACCCCACATTCAATGGGAGTAAACTTTGTGACTTTTGCTAGAAATAGGAGGACCTGGTCTCTGCTCCATTGGATTTGAAGTGGGACTGTGTGAAGTGTGGAACTGAGGTGGTGGTGATGAGGGCCTGCCAGTGCTGAGGAAAGAGTCGACCCAGGCTGAGAAGAAACTGTGCTGAGAGGCAAGATAGTGCCACTTGAGTCCTGCTGTCATCTTGAAATAAAATCCCAGACTCCCACAGTTACCCAGCTCCATACAGTCTCAACTTTTGCTTAACCCCAATTCTTACAACTAATAGAATCCTAATTTATATATCACCAGAGCTTATGATCAGCATAAGAAATCCTGTTACCAAAAGTAGTTGTTACAAGTTAACTATTACAATTGCAGTGTTAAGTAAAGATAATTGTCAACCCAGGCCTGAGGAAATAGCAAAATAACTGGGGACATTCTTTCGGGAAAAAAAAAAATAAAAAAATAAAAAAATTCTATCACTAGAGGGTGCCAGATACCATCTCAGCCAAGTAAGAAGAAATTGAATAATTTAATGGCTATCAATTAATCATATATAATAAAGAGATAATATGCGAATTGACTATCACTCCAAAACAAGATGGCCACCCTCATGTGGTCAAAGATGGCTGCCACCATCTGGACACAAAAAGGTCGCCACAAGATGGCCAACAGGAGAGGGCAGCTGTGGGCAATCAGGCCAGCAGGGGAGGGCAATTGAGAGGGACCAGGCCTGAAAGGGAGGGCAGTTGTGGGCATCAGGCCAGCAGGGAAGGGCAGTTTTGGGGGACCAGGCCTGCAGAGGGCAGTCAGAGGGGAACCCTGGCCTGCAGGGGAGGGCAGTTGGGGGTGACCAAGCCAGCAGGGGAGGACAGTTGAGGGCAATCAGGCTGATAGGGGAGCAGTTAGGCATTGATTAGACTGGCAGGGGAATGGTTAGGGGGTGATGAGATGACAGGCAGAAGCAGTTAGGAGCGATCAAGAAGGAAGGCAGGCAGGCGAGCAGTTGGGAGCCAGCAGTCCTGGATCATGAGAGAAATAGCCCAGATTGGAGAGGTGCCTGGCTGGTGGGGCTGGTAGAACAGAGTCTGGTTCTACCAGCCCCACCAGTCAGGCACCTCTCCAGTCTCCTCCCCGCCCCCCCACACACACACTAGGCCTCTAGCATATATATATATATATATATATCGATTTAAGAGAGGAAAGGAGATGAACTGGGGATCAAGTCCGCAACCCAGGCATGTTCCCTCAACCAGAATCGAACTTAGGACCCTTCAGTCCATAGGCCAACACTCTATACACTGAGCTTGACCCACTCCTGGGGTGGGAATCATCTTTGCTCAACACCTCCCTCTTTATTTTTTAATTTTTTTTTATTTTTTAAGATATATTTTATTGATTTTTTTTACAGAGAGGAAGAGAGAGGGATAGAGAGCTAGAAACATCAATGAGAGAGAATCACTGATCAGCTGCCTCTTGCACACCCCCCACTGGGGATGTGCCCGCAACCAAGTCACATGCCCCTGACCGGAATCGAACCCGAGACCCTTCAGTCTACAGGCCAAGGCTCTATCCACTGAGCCAAACCGGTTTCAGCAACATCTCCCTCTTTAAACCAGACTCTGTTCTACCAGCCCCACCAGCCAGGCACCAGCCTTTGCTTGAATCTTCCAGCACTGGCTCCCACAGCCTTTCAAGGAGAATCATTCCATCTCAGAACACTTTCCAGTGGTTAGATGTTCTCCCGGATAGCATAACTTCCTGTAGTTTGACAAGTGTTTGTTCAACATCCACTATGAAAGTACACTACTTATAAACAGTCCTGGAAGAGCCCCAGGGAAAACAGATGATAGTAGTCCATCTCCCCTCAACCCAAAGTTGGAAAAGGCATTTTTGCCATCGGAAAGCTCCACATAGCCCTTCACAAGCATGTGTCTTGACTTATTTTCAAGCCAGGCAACAAGGACAATGATTCAGCCTGACTAATCATAATAAGCTAGGGGGAATTG